CTCCCAGGTTCAACCGATTCTCCTGCCTCAGCCTCCCAAGTAGCTGGGATTACAGGCACGCACCACCACACTTGGCTAATTTTGTATTTTTAGTAGAGACAGGGTTTCTCCGTGTTGGTCAGGCTGGTCTTAAATTCCTGACCTCAGGTGATCTGCCTGCCTCGGCCTTCCAAAGTGCTGGGATTACAGACGTGAGCCACCACGCCCGGCTGAGCTTGGCCTTTTTCATGAGGCTGGGAGCTGATGCTAGCTAGATGAGATACAAATAGACTTGAAATGGCAGTAGATCCTAAAGAACAAATGAATGAATGAATGAGGTAGGAAGGAAGAGAGAAAGGAAGCAAATTCTTGTGGAGTCTGAGGCAGCAGCGACCTTCTCAACGGTACAGCCAGGCCAGGGGCCAATAAGAAGGTGAGACCTGCAGTAAGCAGCCCCCTGCTGCTTGTCCCCATCCAGCCTCTGCTAGAGCCAGCACGCCAAACTCCACCTGAACCCAGGACAAAGCAGGAGCTTCGCTGTTGGGTCTGGGGAGGTCAGGCACATTGGTCCTTTCTGTGAAAAACTGGTCTGCTAGTGGACAGGAAAACCCTCACCTCTCAGTAACTAGGAAATTCAGTGGCAGGAGACTTGGCTCTGTCCACAGCCTAATGGGAACCTGAGTCTCCAGTTGGATCCTGCGTCTCGAGTTGGATGTGTCAGTGGATCTAGCACAAGGTTTAGGATCACCTTACCTGAAGCATAAAACCCCAACCCTCCTTTCCAACTGTGAGACTGTGGGGCATGCACTGAAGCCTAGAGGACTCCAAGAAAGGGGCACACAGCCTCTCTGTGCCAACAAATGCTGCTTTAACTAATTTCATCAAGTGGTAATTTCACATATCCAGCCCTGGCCCGTGTGTGTGCAGAGCACTGAACTTAAGCCATTGCAGTAATTCATTCGCCCACTCAATATCGCCTGCCAGTCCTTAGGGATGCCACAGTACACAAGCCACCTGCCCCTAGAGGGACGTGTTATGGTACAGCAGGCCCATACAGCAAGTAAACAGGAAACAGCACAACTGGGTGGTAAGTGCAGTGAGAAGGAATAGAGAGAGTGCTAGAAAGCTGACAGAGGAGGCCCTAACCAACGTCAGGGACCCTATAGTCAGCCTGGTGTTTTAAGCAGGTACCCAAATGCCAAGTACAAATGAGCCATTAGCAGGGAAAGAGCAGAGATAATATCTCTAATCTACAAGACAGTAGAGTCTGATACTGGATTTTTCATTACAGTATTCTTGTTTCTTAAGATCTTAAAAATTATTATTTTCAAAACACTTATAGCATAATATGACAGATATCCATGTGGTTACTACACAGTCTTAGCAGCTGTTTCAGATATTTTGTACACAGGTACATAGATGGGTATGTTTTTGACACGGAATCTCATTCTGTCACCCAGGCTGGAGTGCAGTGGCATGATCTCGCTCACTGCAACCTCCATCTCTCAGGCTCAAGCGATTCTCCTGCCACAGGCTACTCAATGAATAGCTGGGATTACAGGCATGCGCCACCAGGCCCGGCCAATTTTTGTCTTTTTAATAGAGACAAGGTTTTACCATGTTGGCCAGTCTGGTCTTGAACTCCTGGCCTCAAGCGATCCACCCACCTGGACGTCTCAAAGGGCTGGGATTACAGGCATGGGCCAATGCACCTGTCCCCGCCTGCCCCCATCTCAACCCTTTCTTGCTCCTGTTCTGTTATGTAAGATGCCTGCTCCTCCTTGGCCTTCCACCATGACTAGAAGCTTTGTGAGGTCTACCCAGAAGCCCAGCAGATGCCAGTGTTATGCTTCCTGTACAGTCTGCAGAACTGTGAACCAATTAAACCTCTTTTCTTTATAAATTATCCAGTCTCAAGTTTTTCTTTATAGCAATACAAGAATGGCCTAATACAGTACTTTTAGTGAGTTAGTTTAAAATTGATTATAAGCTAATAAATACGCACAGTTTCAACTAAATAATTTTTATGGGCTGTAGGAGAGGACCTGGCTTGTATTTTCTTAATGGTTTCATGTCTAATGCCAAGGCCATCATATACAAAGAAGTGTCAGAAAAAGAAGAGTTGATGTTTATTGCCAAGGAAATACTTAAACTGACTGTAACGAAGATTTTAAAGCGCTGTAGAGAAGCTGTACACTATTTCCCTGGGCTGACCACAGACACACTTTAAATCAAAGACTATCTATCTCATCGTTGGACTTAAATGGTGATTTTTAAAACACTCTTTTTTTGACCAAGTTTTTACTCAATTCACTTGAGTTACTTCAGTTTAGAATTTGAGTTCTTATCCTCATAGTAATCCTGAAAAAATTACTAAGAATAAAAAATTATAATTACTAACATAAGTCCATAGGATATTAGAACTGAAAAGATATCATATAGCTAAACCTGTTTATTTACAGCTGATGAAACTGAAGTATGAGAGGTTAATTATTCATCCAACAAATATTTATTGAGTTTCTACTCTGATATCATTTAGATGCTTGCTATGCTAATGACTGTACATACACACAGCACCAAACATTTAGAAATTTAAACATGTTTAGCGTCTCTATCAACAGCTTTACGAAGTAAAATTTGAGACGTTACCAGCTTGCCCAAGGTTGCGTAGCCATTAAATAGAGGAAGCGGGGTTAGGACCCAGGGAGTCTGACTCCAGTAATACTTCCTGTCTTGCCGTGGAATACGCCTGTGGTGCTTGAGTCCAAAATGCATCGATATAAATCTTACAGGGAATGAGATCCTACCATTTACAGAATATGATGTCCTCCTTTACAGACAAAATTTCGTTCTTCCGGTGAAGAGGACAATGGCTGAGTAGGGACTTATGCCCACACCTAATGGAAACTCATCCTTGACCTGAGTGGCTACTGACCCAAGACAAAGATTACTTAGAGCAGCCCATGACAGCATCAGCTCCAGGGAAACGGGAAGTACTTGGACATCATAATGAACAACACAGAGATGGGCTCTGACCTCATGGGGCTCACAGTTTAGTGAGGGAGACAGGCAAGGTACAAGTAACTTCGCTAATATTTTATGCTTTGTCTTGAAATTTTAAACTTAACCAACCTCCAGTTTTAAAATAGCATGGAAGCAAAAAACAAAATGGAGTGCAACAGATCCCAGAACCTTAACTCTTCTCTAAAGAACAGTAGGACAGCCTAGGAGTGAGACCTTGCGTCTTTTCTGTTGGCCAGTTCTGAGGGCATCCTGTGATTGAGGAGGGATTTAGAAACTTTGGCCTGTCATGGGCTTTGATGGTTCTTAAATAGCCACATCCAGTTGGCTTTTTGTGGAATAACATGTTCAGAGACATAACTGCCACCCACTTTCAGTAGCAAGAGCAAAACCACTAATATGTGTAATGAATAGCAGCTGCTGGAATAGGAAGCTCACTACGTCCTGGAATTCAGGGACCACGGAGGAACCCCTGAAGCTTCTCAGGCGACCTGGATCGACACCAGACATCTGTGACTCTATCAAAGCTTTGTACAGAATTCAAGGCATGGACATAAAAGTGCTTAAGTTATAAGACATGAGAAGCATAAGACGCGGGATTTCAAGAATATTACTTAGCCATACAGATATTTTAATATAATCAAGATAGTCAGTTAGTCCTAGCTGCAAATATGTTCCCTATTTTTTTTTTAGTATTCTACAAAATTCTCATTCTTCTTTTAATTCTCTCCCTTTGCTGCTAGGCCCTCCTTAAGGGTTTCATCTGGCTCACACTAGGCTGGGAAGAAAAGATGTAGGAAGTTCTTGACCTGACCCTGGCCTTTTCTCCTTTATCCTTTGCTATTTCCTGTCTCCTGTTTCTCTACAGAAGTAAATCATGTTGACACATCCCCAAAGAGTAGGGGCCTTAGCATGGAAGGAATACAGAATCAAAGAACAGCTAAGACAGATGCATATAAAGGGGAATATGACCCACTTTCTAGTTATTCATTTATTTTGTTGTTAAACAAAGATTGCTTTGTTAATACAATTACACACAAACTCTAAAGCACTAAGACATTTAAATATGTTATAGCAAACAGCTGGCAATTCAACATCCAGGGTCAACAGAATGCTTGAAGGAGACCGCAACAGATGGGATTCCCATGGTGGAGAGGGCATCTTCACCGGCGAAGGGAGCCCAGCGGAAACAGCCTTTCGAGCTCTCTCTCCTCACCAAGAATCATGAGAGGCACTCCGCTCTAGGGGAGGTGTGCAATCTGGTGCTCTTCAGGCAGGTCAGAACTCTCAAAGTCTAGAGGATTGAAGGGAAAGAATTTTTCTATTTCTAAACAGGCATCATCTGAGTCAGGAACAGAGCTTTTTGCTTTAACAGTCTTCTCGGTCATCTTTTGGGCAGAAAACCTTGGCTGTTTTTGTGTGCTGGGTCCATTGGTCTTTACTGATTTTTCTGTAGCTCTTTTGACAGTTCCCAAAGCCTTTCTGGTAGCTTTAGGTAAGGCTGGTGGAGCATCGAACATTTTGCCAAAACGTGGTGTTAAAACTTGAGATCTCCCACCTAAGGCTTTGATTGAAGGTCCAGACCCCAGCTTTAGCCCGTCCTTAGCAGCCACACCAGTGCCCGGGTCTCCAATTCCTTATCGACATAGATCAGAGTAGCTATTCTGGATTATTGCTGCTCTCAATAGCCACATTCATCTAAGACCATGGTCTCACTTTATATTTAGATAGAATGTTAACTATAGTGGAAATTGGTGTAATATCTAATTTACGTGCCTCGCATGTCATCTGGGAGTCAGCATGAACTCATACAAAGAGTATAGGCCTGAGGTCTGACGGACCCGGAAACTCAGGAAAGCCACTTTCTGTTAGCTGAGAGATTTAGGCAAGTTGCCTAACATCCAAGTCCTATTTCCACATCCATAAAATGAAGGTAAAACTCAACTCTTACACATTGTGAAATGATCAAAAACCACTTAAGTAAAGTGCAGAGCAACCAATAAATAAATAGTTTCTGCCTTTTTTGTATTTTCTAACTTATAATGTACTTTTTTGCATACTTGATTTCACTTCTTACTAACCTTTAATAGATGCAAGTCTTCTGTTTTTTACTAAAGCAGCACCCCCAAAGTTCCTCTAAACTGCAAAGTGCCCAAATGTTTCATCTGATTTACCCCTTTTGCTAGCTCTGATCTACCGGTGGTATCAATCCAGCAAACAGTGGTGGGGAGAGCCGGGAGGCCCTGCCTGAGCAATGTGACTGCTAGTGATGACTGCTTGAGCAGGAATACCGGACTGAGGCGAAGACTACATACCTCTGCCAGCCCAACCCCAATCTAGTCCAGGCTATTGCTTCACAGCAGCAAAGGGTCACTTCTGTTTCTAAGGCCTAGAGGTAAGTTGAGGCAGTTTTGCAGTCAGCCATTTCAATTCAGTGATAAATATCCTTGTTGTCTAATTCATTCTATGAATCTTTGACTCATGGCCATATGTGTGTATGTATTTGAGCCCGTATGCAAAAATCTACAGTTGAGTCTTGAACAATACAGGATTGAGCTGCATGGATCCGCTTGTTCTCAGATTTTTTTCTGGCGCTGCCACCTCTGAGACTGCAAGACCAACCCCTCTTCTGCCTCCTCCTCGGCATACTCAACGTGCAGACAATGAGGGTGAAGATCTTTATGATGATCTCTTTCTACTTAATAATGTTCTCTTTTTTATAATTTTTCTTAATATTTTCTTTTCTCCAGCTTAGTTTATTGTGAGAATACAGGATATAATACATATAACATACAAAATATATGTTAGTCAACCATGTTATTGGTAAGGTCAACAGAAGACTATTAAGTTTTTGGGAGTCAAAGGTTATAGGTGGATTTTCTTTCTTTCTTTCTTTCTTTTTGAGATGTAGTTTCACACTCTTGTTGCCTAGGCTAGAGGGCAGTGGAGCGATCTTGGCTCACTGAAACCTCCGCCTCCTGGATTCAAGCCATTCTCCTGCCTCAGCCTCCCAAGAAGCTGGGATTACAGGCTCCCACCACCACACCTGGCTAATCTTTTAATTGGTAATGAAGACGGGGTTTCACCATGTTGGCCAGGCTGGTCTTGAATTCCTAACCTCAGGTGATCCACCCACCTCAGCCTCCCAAAGTGCTGGGATTATGGGCGTGAGCCACTGCAACCAATTTATAGGTGGATTTTTGACTGTGCAGGTGATTGCCACTCCTAAACTTCATGTTTCAAGGGTCAACTGCACCTGTTTATTTGCATAAGGCCACCTCTAATATAAAGCACTATTCAAAGATATCATTAGAAGTCTTGCTCTTAACCTGAGACAGCTAGCTAGAAATAACAGAGCCATGATTTGGACCTGGTGTATCAAATGATTGATGTAACCTCTACATGGAGCTTGTAAACTCAAATGCCACCCAGGGTCAGTCAAGGAATGTAAACATGTGATGTGCCAGTATAAGGGCAATGGGGAACAGGGAAACTGGTGGGGTAGAGTGTGTGTGCCAATATACAAGCATTCCAATTGAATTGAATTGTTTTTCTTTCAAACACTATGGTAGGCAACTTTTTTTTTTTTTTTTTTTTGAGACAGTCTTGCACTGTCACCCGGCTGGAGTGCAATGGCACAATCTCGGCTCAATGCAACCTCCACCTCCTGGGTTCAAGTGATTCTTCTGCCTCAGCCTTCCAAATAGCTGGGATTGCAGGTGCGCACCACCATGCCTGGCTAATTTTTGTATTTTTAGCAGAGACAGAGTTTCACTATGTTGGCCAGGCTGGTCTCGAACTCCTGACCTTGTGATCTGCCTGCCTTGGCCTACCAAAGAGCTGGGATTACGGGTGTCAGTTACTGCGCCCAGCCGGTAGGCAAATTTTAAAAAATGTTTGCAGGCCACCTATCTGCAATCCTGTCTCATTATACCATTAGCAGGAATTATTGTTAAATACCTTCTTTCAACTGTTCTGGCACATTCGTTTTTTTATTAATAGCCTTCTAATGGTTCTCTAAATTGAGGCAGAAATAATTAAAGCAAAAGATGTAGCATATGTGTCCTAAAGAAGGGACAAATAAAGACCAATGATGTCTAGAGGTGCGAAAGCAAATCTAACCCAGGAACGCTTTCTGGAGGAGGTGGCCTTTGAGCTGTGAGAGATGGAATGCTTAGAGAAAAGGAAATCTCCCCAAGCAAAAGAAACTGCAATGAGCAAAACGGAGGGAAGCGTGACCTCAGGGGAAATAAACAGACCCATTTTGCTGGAAAATAGAATACAGTAGCTTGGAATCATAAGAAAAAGTACGAAGAATCATCTGAGACTAGATATGGTCAAGGTTCTTGACTGCCAAGCTGAGGAATCTGGTGTTTATTGGGTAGAGATGAAAATGGCCTGCTCAGAGAACGGGTTTTCTAGGAGATGAATCTGCTTTGTTGAATTTGCAGACGCTTTCTTAACATGGAGCATACTTTTTTCCTAGACAACTTCGGGTCTGAAAAATTTGTTACTATTCTTAGCATATGTTTTTGAAAGTAAACTTGTTTGCCAAAAGTGTATATGAGAAAAGGGGCATAAAAACTGACAGCAAATCCAGTAACTGCAGCCATCTGTGTTTCTGTTGTTCTAAGTGGAGATCAGCAAAAATAGCATTTTAAGAAACAAATAAGTATGGTTGAAGCAATATTTTCCAGTGAAGCTTTCCACAAGTGGCTGCTGACAATTTTATCTGGCATTGCAAAATAAAATACATGACCTACAGGACACCATGACAAACTATCATCTGTTGCATTATAAATGGAAGAATAAAAGGAAGGAAAGACGGAAGGGAGGGAGGAAAATGATATGTGGTTTGTCAGGAAATGTTAATCAAATGTCAGAACTGACCTTTTAAAAAGTAATAATGAACAATAAGAAAAACATCAAACAATTTGTTCTGAACTTTTATGAAAAAGTGGTGTAGGATAAAAATAAATTGGAGTTTGGAGTCAGAAAGACTATTCTGGAAGCTCAACTCTCTTCCCTTTCTACATTATTTATTATTTATTATTATTATTTTTTAAGAGATAGGACCTTGCTCCGTTACCAAGGCTGGAGTGCAGTGGTGTGATCATAGCTCACTGAAGCCTCGAACTCCTGGGCTCAGGCAATCCTCCCACCTCAACCTCCTGAGTACCTAGAACTAAAGGCATGCACCCCCATGTCCGGCTAATCTTTTTATGTTTTGTAGAGAGGGATCTTGCTGTGTTGCTCACGCTGGTCTTGAATTCCTGGCCTCAAGAGATCCTCCTGCCTTGGCTTCCCAAAGTGTTAAGATTACAGGCATGAGCCACCATGCCCAGCAATATATATTCCTGTCAACAGATAAATTCCTTTTCTCTAAAAAAGTAGTGTTATTTATATCTTTAATGATTGTGAAGAATTAAAACATGTATAGTATCATGTATCATATATTTGTCTCTTTCCTTCTTTTGGAATGGAAGGGCTATGCCTGCCACATTGTGCAATTATACATTGGGTATTATACAAACTCATCAGCGGCTTATGTTCTCCCAAATCATGCAGGGAGTCTAAATGTTTATGTGGTCAGCTTGATCCTTCGTGTAAGGGGATGGAGGCCATGGTGCAAATAATCCCAAAGGCCGGATAAGAGTAATCCTTTAAGTTTCACCATGGCATACATCAGTGGCTTCTTTGGGGGAATCTGTTTCTACACTTCACTTTTTTTGGGGGGTATGGAGTCTTGCTCTGTCGCCCAGGCTGGAGTGCAGTGGCGCAATCTCTGCTCACTGTATCCTCTACCTCCTGGGTTCAAGCGATTCTCATGCTTCAGGCTCCCAAGTAGCTGGGACCGCAGGCATGCTGCACCATGCCCAGCTAACTTTTAGAAGAGTTAGGGTTTCACTGTGTTGGCCAGGCTGGTCTCGAACTCCTGACCTCAAGTGATCTACCCACCTTGGCCTCCCAAAGTACTGGGATTACAGGTGTGAGCCACTGTGCTCGGTTACATTCCACTTTTCTTAAGTTAATACTAACATTAGTTGGCCTCCCTGAGCACACCACATGAGATCAAGGGGAAAAGACACAGCAGGGAAGTACAGGGAAAAGCCATTTGGTCATTTTAAGCACAATGAAGATAATCTGGTGGAAGTTTATTCATTTCACATTCAATATATATTGAGCACCTACTTGTGGCCAGGTGCTACCTAGTCTGTGGCGATACATCTGTGAGCAAAACGAAACCCCCTGCCCTCAGGAAGCTTATATCCTCGTGAAGAAACAGTCAGACAATGAATGAAATTTTTAAATGGCATAGTGTATTAGAAGTTCATTAAGCTGGGCGTGGTGGCTCATGCCTGTAGTCTCAACACTTTGGGAGGCTCAGGTAGGTGATTACTTGAGTCCCAGAGTTAGAGACCAGCCTGGGCAACATAGGGAGACCCCCATCTCTACAAGGAACACAAAACTTAGCGGGTTGTCATTCCAGCTACTCAGGAGGCTGAGGTGGGAGGATGGCTTGATCCTGGGAGGCAGAGGTTGCAGTAAGCCTAGATCGCGCCACTGTACTCAGGCGTGAGTGACAGAGAGACATTGTTTCAAAAAAAAAAAATGTTTATTTAAAGCAGCTTATATGTATTTTGGGGGAAGGTATTTATTTTTTTCTTTTCATTTTTTAAATAGAGACAAGGTCTCACTATGTTGCCCGGGCCAGTTTCAAACGCCTGGATGCAAGCGATCCTCCCACCTTAGACTCCCAAAGTGCTGGGATTGCAGGCATGAGATACCGCAATGAGCCCAGATGACATGTATTATAATCTATACACAAATACAAATATGAAAAGCATACACTTTGAGGTAAAGCTCTCTTAAACACTGCTGATTCTTGGTCCACTGGTGCTCATCACAAATAAGGGCAGAAAGTTTTGTAAAAAACAGTAACAGTGGAAACTGCGCATTGTGACACATTGTACTTTATATACGGTTGTCCCTCTTTATCTATGGGTTCTGCCTCTGTGGATTCAACCAACCGTGGATTGTAAATATTTGGAAAAAAATAAAGGATGGCTGTGTCTGTACTGAACACGTACAGACATCTTTTCTTGTCACTATTCCCTAAACAAAACAGTATAACCTTATGTATGCAGCATTTACATTGTATTGAGTAGCATAAGTAATCTAGAGATGATTTAAAGTATATGGGAGAGTATGCACAGGTTATAGGCAAATCCTATGTCATTTTATATCAGGGGCTTGAGCATCCATGGATTTTGGTATCCACAGGGGTCGTAGAACCAACCGCCTTGTCCCCACGCACACTGAGGGACAACTGTATACACATAGAGAGGTATGTATGCGTAGTTCATGGGAATCTCTTACCAAGTCCGTGTTACCTTTGGGAAAACTGGGGGAGACATGCTCCAGAAATAAAATGAAGGGGTGATTTCTTTTTTTACTTTTTATAGTTTGTTAAATTTATCATACTGTACATGGTTTTTAACTTGTTTATGTTTTGCAACATTTTTCAAATAAAAACTGAGTTAAAGAAAGATGAGACAGTTCTACATGAACTGACAAAAAAATCAGTTCATGACACATTAGGTGGAAAACCTACATTGCAGAGCTTGGTATCACCTGATTGTGTATGTGTTAAATACATGGAGTTTTTAAAAATCTACTGCTAAGTGAGCCAAGATTACACCACTGCACTCTAGCCTGGACGGCAGAGTGAGGCTCTGTCTTAAAAAATAAATAAAAACAAAGTAAACTCACTGCTAAGAGTCATACGATACATAGATTTTTTTTTTTCTCAAGTCAACTGGTCTTAGAGAGCTGAGAGAAGGATCCCATCAGAGTTTCAGTGAATCACCCCTCCTCTTCATTGCCCACATATAGTATCACTAAGTAGGGACTTTCGCCTCAGAGCAGACTTTCAACGCATCCCTTCCTCCAAAGCTGCCACTATTGTCCTGAGCCGGTCCTCATCATCTCTTACTTGAATCACCTTAAAGGTCTCCTCACTGGTCTCAGTCCATTCTTGACATGACTTCCAAGACCCTTCCAAATCTGGCCTCAACCTACCTGTGGCTAACATTGATTTCACTTAATAAGGATTCCCTCATTTCCTCTTCACTAAAATAACCCTAATTTTGTTCAGGCAATAGAGACCTGTGATCTCAGCTTTAGCTCCATGGAATGCTCACAAGTTGGCACATAGTAGGCAATTTTTTTTTTAATGAATGAATGAAGGGTTTAAATTAGTAATGTTAATCCTTTTATCACCCCAAGTGAGTCGTCTAAAAGTCAACACGTTCAGTACCATAGGAAAAGTTAAAAAAACAACCACCACCACCACCATGTGACCCAGGTCTGGCCAATGAGATATTAGAAGACGTCTGCCCCTCCCTTCCTGCCTGGAACTCACTGGTCCAGGAGCCACAGCAGCCGTCTTGGAATCCCGAGGCCACGCAACTAAAGGCAAAAGTACGCATGCTAACGATTGTGAAGTGGAATGAGACAAAAGCCTATTATTGATGGTCTAGATCCAGCCACCTTGAAACTGATTGCATTCAGACCCTTATTCACTGAAATATCTCTGTCTTTATTTTCTAGACCAGACTTTAGTGGGCCAGTGAATCTCTTAGGAATCTCCTTACAATGGAAATTCTGATTTTACAGGGCTGAGGCGGTGCCTGAGAATCTACATTAATATCGGGCTCCCAGGCGATGTTGCTAAGGATGTCAAAATGAGAAATGAGATATGAGCCACTGTAAATTGGGCGCTCTATTACTTTTAGCTGAACTCATTCTTATTTTCTACTGTCCTTGCCCACATACCAAGCTAACCACAGTAACCATCCAAGCTACTCAAAATATACAAATTGTCTCCCAGGCATGGCTTATGTTTATCCCTCCCTTGAAAGAGCTCTAAGATTTTGTAGGATTTACCACTATTCCACACATCAACCTTAGTCACTTTTCCCCTCATCAATCATTGTGTTTTCCCAGGTATGTTTTCTCCTGTCTTGATTAAACAGTTAAAGTGACATGTTTTATAGACAAAATGATTTTAAAAGACCTCAAACTTAATTGCAAAATGATTGAATTCCCAGGTAGATTTTACATATTATCCTATATAACCGGTTGTGTTTCATTTCAGTAATGCGGGAATTAAAAACTACGGGAACAGGATTCTATTACCAGTAATGACACTCAGGTGCCTCTCCTTGATGAAGCTTTCATTGCACATAACATTTTGAAAACGTTTTTAATAAAGTCTGATATTCAGATGTGTCAGTTAAAAACTGAGCTCGGAAACTGACACAAGAACAGAAAACCAAACACTGCATTTTCTCACTCATAGGTAGTGTTGAACAGTGAGAACAGGTGGACACAGGGAGGGGAATATCACACGCTGGGGTTGGTGGGGGTCTAGGGGAGGGACAGCGGGTGGTCGGGGAGGGAGGGGAGGAAAACACTGGAAGAAATGCCTGATGTAGGCCACGGGGGCAGGGACGGAGACTGCAAACCACCATAGCAAGTGTGTACCTATGCAACAACCCTGTGGGATGTGCACATGTACCCCAGAGCTTAAAGTACAATTAAAAAAAATAAATGAGAAATAAAATAATAAAATAAAAACTGAGCTCAGAAGAATTACTCAGGATCACTTCAGATTAAAAACACCATTTCTCTCTTATCCATCCAAGAAATTCCTACCTGGTTCTAGTTCATTAATTAGTAATATGCTTTTCCTACCACACTGTGGTATTCCAAAATTTGGCATTTATGCTTTCAGCCCAAACTTGTCAGAAAAGACACCAAATTACTGACTCTGAATGCAAAATATGTCTGCATGGCAGAGTGGGAGAGGAATGGAGGTAATGCATGTGGATTCCAGTTACCTGCGGCTGAGACAGTAAACGGTATGTCCAAAAGCACGTTACCAATCAGCACATCTAGCCATGCACAATGATGATCACACATTGTCAATCAAATGTCTTGATTTAATTTTCACTGTAAATTAGCACAATTTTTCTGCAGCCCCAGTCAACTCAAAACCATCACATAATCTGTGCAAATGACATGCCATGTGGGATAATTTAAAAAAAAACCAGGACTTAAGAGATGGACATTTTATTTTTCCCTTTTTGAAAAGTTTTATTTTTAAGTTCCAGGGTACATGTGCAGGATGTGCAGGTTTGTTACATAGGTAAACGTGTCCCATGGTGGTTTGCTGCACCTATCAACCCATCATCTAGATATTAGCATGCATTAGCAGTTTTTCCCAATGCTCTCCCTCCCCTCACCCCACCCCCACACAGGCCCCAGTGTGTGTTGTTCCCCTCCCTGTGTCCATGTGTTCTCATTATTCAGCTCACACTTATAAGTGAGAACATGCGGTGTTTGGTTTCCTGTTCCTGCATTAGTTTGCCGAGGATGATGCTTCCAGCTCCATCCATGTCCCTGCAACGGACATGATCTCGTTTCTTTTTATGGCTGCATGGTATTCCATGGTGTATGTGTACCACATTTTCTTTATCCAGTCTGTCATTGATGGACATTTGGGTTGATTGGGAGATGGAGATTTTAATTTAAATTCCATCAATGATTTAGCACAAGATGATCAGCCCTTTTCCCAAGTCATCAGAACTTTAAATCACATGCTGAAAAGTAAAAAATCTAAAACCTATCCTGTGACTTCCACACTGACTGAGCGAAGATCACAACAAAACTTCAACGCACGTGTGAAGTCAAAGGATGAATAGTCTCAGGGCCACTGGGATGAACTAAGAGCTGTTGGGTTCATATGACTGCAGGCCTTGCAACAAGCTTCAGCTTGCTGACACTGGTGGTTCACTGTTGCTTTCCAGGCGGGGCCTTCTTCCTCACCCTCCCCTCCAGCTCCTGCGAAGGTCCCCTACAGTGATGATGAGCATTGTAGTACAGCGAAAGGCTTACACACAGCCTGAGAACTCATAGGGTCTGTATGTAGATTTGTACAGTGTCGGGGAGGGACATGGTAAAAGTACTTATCACCCGAGCTCCATATCAATATTCTTATAGCTGAAAATCATGTCTGAATGATTTCTCCTCTGGGCAAAGACTGTGGCCTCTCTGCAGATCTTCAGTGTTTATTCTCCAGGATAAACACTATAACCATTTTCTAGATCCTAAGTTTCTTACTGAACAAACACTCTGACTTCTTTCAAATGTTGTTTTGAATGTCCTTTTCAATTTTTTTTTTTTTTTGAGGCAGAGTCTCACTCTGTCACCAGGCTGCCGTGCAGTTGTGCAATCTCGGCTCACTGCAACCTCCATCTCCCAGGTTCAAACAGTTGTCTGCCTCGGCCTCCCGAGTAGATGGGATGACAGGTGCATGCCACCACGCCCAGCTAATTTTTGTCTTTTAGTAGAGACGGGGTTTCACCATAATGGCTAGGCTGGTCTTGAACTACTGACCTCGTGATCCGCCTGCCTTGGCCTCCCAAAGTGCTGAGATTACAGGCATGAGCCACCGCTCCCAGCCCTTTTCAAATATTGAGGATCCACTTTCCTAACCTGGCTGAGTATCACCCTGTCTCCTCTTCCCTAGCTGAGTGTCACAAGGCTCCTTACCCTGCTGCGACCACAGAAGAGAAATCTTGCAGAAGGTCTTGGGCATACTCAAGAATAAAAAAGAGGCTGTCTTTCTGATATGTTAATGAATTACGGTGGTTGGTCCCCAGGATGTAGCTGGAGATAATTCTCCTCCTTCCTTCCTATAATGCAGTTCTTATAGCAGCAATGTTTTGTTTATAGTTTCCGAGGCCATATATTTTTTTTACCACTTACGTTTATGAAAAATTTCAAACAAATAGGAAAGTAAAGAGTATATTATAATGAACTCTCAGCTTCCATCACCCAATTTCAACCAGTGTCAATTCAGGACCAATCTTGTTTTGGTATCCACACGCACTTCTCCTGCCACAGATCATTTTTAAAAACAATTCCTGATATAATATTTCATTCATAAATAGTTCAGTATACAGTAAATAGCCCCCAAAGACAGGAATTCTTTGTGCTTTGTGTTTTTTGAACACAAAGGACAATATATTTTCAAATCATCAAGGCCAAACTGGGGGAAAATATGTTGTATTGTTCAGCTATTTATATTTCTCACAATAAATAATTAAAAATGGTGAATAGGCAGGACGCAATGACTCATGACTCATGCCTGTAATCTCCGCACTTTGGGAAGCCAAGGAGGGTGGATCACCTGAGGTCAGGAGTTCGAGACCAGCCTGGCCAACATGGTGAAACCCTGTCTCTACTGAAAAAAAAAAAAAAAAGCTACTTGGGAGGCTGAGGCAGGAGAATCGCTTGAACCCGGGAGGTGGGGGTTGCCAGGGTTGCCAGTGAGCTGAGATGGCACCACTACACTCCAGCTTGGGCAACAAGAGTGAAACTCCGTCTCAAAAAAAAAAAAAAAAAAAAGTGAATACATGTTAAGGTGAATACTGACAGGATGTACACCACCAAGAATGAACCCTAATGTAAACTATGACTTTGCGATGAGAACAATGTGTCAATGTTGGTCATCAGTTGTAACAAATGGACCACTCTGGTGGGGGATGTTGCCTTTGGGGAGGCTGTGCATGTCAGGGGCTGGGCGTTGGTGGGGCAGGATATGGGATATATGTGTAGCCTCTTCTCAATTTTGCTGTGAACCTAAAACTGCTCTAAAAAAATTAAGTCTTAAGAATTTTTCGAAAAATCCGTTAACTCAATCCTATTTTTCTTTCTGCAAAGAGGGTATAAAGGATCTTTCCATGAATGAATGAAAAACTTCATGAACCATTCACAAGTCTTTATAATAAGAAATTGTCGATTATCAGGTATGCTTCTGTTTTACACACATAAAATCCTCCTAACAGCTTTTTGCAGTGGGTTCTGTGACAATATCCATTTTACAGATGGGAAAATGAGGCACGAAGAGGTGAGGTTATTTGCCCAGGGTCATTCAGGTATAGAGCTGCGGCTCAGACTCACGCCACAACCTCTGATCTCTTCATATGCATATTCTCAGCCTGCTGTAACATCGTATTGTCCTGGTTTGTCAATTTGGTTCCCCCAAAAACAGAAACTGAGAGGCATAATTTGATACAGGGAGTTTGTCTGGTTGGAGATCCCAGCAAGCAAAAATAAAGTATGTAAATAAAGACACGGGGAATAAAGAAAAGCCAGTAAAGAAGGGTGTGGTAATGAATGGGTTACCTCGGTTTAACTGGGGTTCAACTCCATTGGGAATCTTCTAAGAAATCATGGAGAATAGGCATCAGCAAACTACAGCCAGCAGGTCAAATCCAACCCACTATTTGTAAATAAAGTTTTATTGGAACATAGCCAAGCCCATTCTTTTAGGATCGTCTATTACTACTTTCCTGCTAAAATAGCAGAGCTGAATAGTCGTACGGGGGCGGTATGGCCTACAAAGTTGAAAATATTTACT